TTTCTTTGTTTTAGTAATTCTCATGCAACAATTTGTACAATAATATTATAATCATGCAGTCCAATTAATGCAACCTAATACTAATCAAACATAATAACAATAGTAAAATAATCAATAACAAATTTAATAATATGAAATGTAAATTTTATAAGAAATCTTCAATATTATAGAATGTCCTATCATTTAAGTAGTTAAATAATAATTTCTTAAATTCTGCACAATCGTTGCAATTCCTAATTTCAAGTGGAAGTTTGTCATACCTTCGTAGCCATTACTATTATCTCTTTTGAAGTAGAGCAATTTTACATGATCTACTTTTCAGTTGATGAGAACGGCGGGCTCGTGTGACGAATTCAAATAAACGAAGATGACGCTTTACGACAAGTGAAATTTCAAATAATATATAAGCATGGTAGAGTCAGTATTTTCAAATTTTTAAATGGTATAAAGGTTGTTGTTGTGTTTATAAATGGTATTAAGGTTGTTAGCAGAGGTATAATCACCAACCCATATAAACGACTCCCTACTTGGCACGTTACGTGTCTTCTCTCAGGGAGTGCATAGCAGTGGCGAGGCGTCCTTATAACTCGATTTTCACCGGCTTGCCTAAAATTTACAATAAGTTAACCAGTGAAATGAAGTATACTATTGTACTAGTACCTGTGTGCTAATAAGTTGTGTTTAAGTGTTGCCAATTTACTACTCCGGCTTTACTATAGACATTTTTCACGCCTTCTCTGGCTGACTCAATACCAGTTGGGGATTTCACACTTTTCCCGAGGTTTGTGAACTTTCTTCGACGTGCAGGCTTCATCGTAATGTTTACCTTTACCGAAAAGATCTTGACTAAAATATTACACATACAACTACAGGTGCGAGCCCAGATTCGAACCCACCGACTCATACGAAGAACAAAGTGCGATGTGCTTAAACAGCGAAAAGAGTTAAAACATAATCTCGTTATTCAAAAGGCCTATATAAAGGTGTTTTCAGATTTTTTTATGTATTTATTATTTCGTTTCGGAAATATAAAATCGAACAACATTCGATCTTGGCTATGGATATGCGCAGTCAAGAACAACAAACTAAATGTACAATGTCCCAAGAATAAACAGCACCTTGCACATAGGTCTTTGTTCTACGGATGAGTCGCCACGGCTTCTATTTCAGAAGCGATAGGTGAAACCATTTGCCCACCACGGCTTCTAGCAGGAGCAGAAGTGAACAAAATGAAACCAAATTATTTTTAAAATGTAACACAATTTTATTTACTAAATAACAAATCCAGAGCATTATGGCACAGTTAAAAAGGGCATTGGATTTACTCCAGGAATCAATTCTTTCTTGAACTTACAAACTATACATGGCGACTAGAATTTAAAAATATATATATATAATTCACTGGAAAAAGACGATATTATTGCATGGTGGTCACTATAGACTTTTTTTTTAAGGAAATTCTAGTCGACATTTTTATATATATTTGGATTGTTAGTGCAAAAAGATACGCAAACAATCATGGTTCACTTGGTGGAAAGTGATTATCGCCCGTATTATGTTCACAGTGCCAATTACCCGAGCGGAGATTCGTAGGGATAGCTGTTAATACTTATTATTAGGGCTGTGATACCCAGACGTTTGCACTAACAAAACAGAAATTCTTATATTGGCAGTACTAAAGCATTAAAAATCTAATTATTAAAAAAAACTCTATAATATACCTAACAGTAATATGTAATCTACCTTATGTGTAAGGTAGCTATTATTTCGTGTAAATATGTACTTTTTTTAATAATTTATGTGGAAGTATTTAGAGGTAGGATGTTGAACATTTTTCTTATTTATTTTCTATGTTTTGAATTTGGTGATATCTAGTACAAATCGACAGCATGCTGTAGAATGTAGATAAATTCAAAGATTAAAAATTTTTAAATTTCTTCTAACATCTGACATCAATATACAAACAGACAAAAAAAAATATTTGCACATCCGCAATTAAATTACCACATACAACAATAATTTCCCAAATTCCCCTGAATATCTGCCCCAGTGGGGATTTCGGGACAAAAAATCGGAAATTTAAAACAAATCCAATAACCTCGTTAGTAAATATAATTAATATCTCTATTTTGTAAATAAAAATTTATGTGATTGCAGGTTTGTAGTGTAAATAATATTTTTAGAATATTCAAACAATTGTAATTACAACTATAAGTGTTTTGTTTTCTTGTAAGCAAGGTTTTTCTACAGGCTAGTAAATTCAGTGGAAAATGAAACAGAAATATATCATTACGTACTTATTATACGATACGATACTTATACGGTATATTTTATTAAGAAGCATTTCTTAAGTGTCTAAGGGCACGTTCAAATTAGCGTGTCTGTACCGCTTCAGTAATTTTTAGTTCACTGACTGTGACTGCAAAAGTGGCGCGCGCTTGTAACGACGACGTCTAATTTTAAGGTGACTTTGATTATGTCAGATAAAAATATCAGAGAACAAGAAAAGTTGTTTTAGTTTCACTATCTAATCAGTGGGGGTTTTGCGAATGGTTCCCGAAAACCCCATAGAATTAATTACCTTGCTTCCGCAGATATTTCGATTACTTTTCCATATATAGCTGCTCAAGCGTATTTTAACTAGTACAGTCAAACAACATGCTCTGCTTTAAATCGAACATTCAAGTTCAAATCAATAACAAAGGACTGAAGTAGAAAATGTGAAACTGAGAGTGTTGTTGACAATATATTAAGGCAAGAATTTGGACAAAAATTCTATAAAATTGATTTAGTAACAAAAATTACACATTTTATATAATTTATCGTAAAAAAATCGAAAACATTTTTAGTAAATATATATGTTTGTAAATAATGATTTTTTGTGATTGTGATAATGTAAATTTAGTTTTAATTTGTAAATAAAGTTGTTACAAAAAGGTAAGTAAACAATTGTAATTACAGTTATAAGTGTTTTGTAGAATAATTTCATCGCTACCTACAAGGGGCGAAGGGTAACAATAATAATGATCCAGACGACCAATTGACGTGGTCTCAAACTAGGGAATTCCATGAGTGCCAGAGCAACGAAGGTCACTCTAAGGCATCCCAAAACACCCTGATTAGAACCAATTAAGACAAGTTAATTCCCAATTTGGTCCAACCGAGAATCGAACTAGGGGGTTGATTCAGAACCTTACGATAACTCAGTTGTCGACAACACAACACCCGCATCGAACCTCAAACTGTCGTATTCGAAACCGAACCGAAATGACGCCACTCCCGTACCATTACTCGAACTTCTCGACCGGCAAAGGCTACGAATGTTATTCAGAACTCAGCTTTCGAATGAAAGTAAAAGAAAATGGAAAGTAATGCATTCCTAGGCGCTGTTCGACATTCACCCTTCGATTCGAGAATGATATCCAATCGACAGATTCGGTTAAAATATCGAAGAGTTCTGAATCGGGATCCTGGACATCCAGCGCCCATAAACCGTTGCGCCACCGAGGTCGTCTGAACACGATTCACATTAGTTATTCACTTTTGTTTGAATACCGCCGTCTGTACCTTCTACATTTGTTTCCCTTCACATAGCTACCCTCCGCCATTCCTGCTTATACTTAAAACCTAAGTCAAATAAATCTAAATTCTAACTGAAAAAATAAAATTTTACAACTTTATACCTATAAAGGAGTTACCACATTTACCCACACGGAATAGCATTAAGCCGGCCAGAGTTTCATGTTCATCTAAAAAGAGCAGCGTGCAGGACCTTCGCTTTTATTGTATACTTTTTCTTTTTCTCTTTTTTTTTAAGTAAATTAACTTTTTTTATAATAATATCAAGCGACGGGACGAATTACTGCGCCCATCACCCTGAGACATAAGTTGACAAGTCCCATGTGCCTGTAATTTCACCAGCTTGCTCAAGACCACTCCCTGGCTTGCTTACGATAAGAACAAGTCCATATGTGTTTCAAATATTCTAAGTACTGTTATATTATAAGCACGGCAGTACCTAACCTTGGAGCAAAGATAGTCAACGATGGAAGATGCCTATACAGTCGCACCTTAAAGGTCCTCAGGTTGTATGTGCTCGTAAACACTGTCGCAGGCAAGGACTTCGCTTCTGGGCTGTGCGCATAATAAAAGATGACGGTCTGAATACCAGCTCAAGCCAAATCCAAGCATCAATAGATGTGGCGACCCCCTAATTTTACAATAGTTGGATTCAGCATGTGCACTGCAGGGCATCGACTGATCTTGAATGTGGAAACTTTGACTCCGCTCTCTCTTCATCTAAATTTGCCCCGCCCTCGCCCGATCACTACAGTTTTTTAATTTTTAACCGCCAACACAAAAGAGGGGAGTTGTAAGTTTGAAGCCTCCGACTTCAAAATATGGAGGTTGTCAATTCGGCTACGCGATTACAACACTTGTGAACTGATTTCGGTGATTCATCTGATGACGTGGTCTTTTTCCTGTGAGTTATATAATTACTTTCATCCAAAGGTTGTCCAGCAGAAATCGCTTAAAGCGATAGGACTGTTATTGTTATTGATATGTACTGCATCTGTTTCCATTTTGGTGTACATAAAGAAATTTTATATTGTATATTCTTTTTTTTTTGTTGGAAAAAATATTTTACCTCAAAGGGTGTCAAATTAGGGGATGAATACGGTTTATTGGATGTCACCCACTTTTCGTTAAACGATTTCAATAAAACTAGGCAAAATAGATGTATTTGTACAAACTTTTGTGGTATGTTTTTTTCAAAATAGTTATAATTATGTATATATGTGTTTGTCAGTCTGTGGCATCGTAACCCGTAAACGGATGGACAATATATACGTAATGTAACAAAAATCAAGTAATCTCAGTTCGTCCATTTCCCATGAACATTTGAAGGCTGTACCCGGAAAGTGCAAAATTTATGATGCTAGAATCCAACTAAAAAAAACCTATTCTTCTCGTATTACCCTAATTGTCCGTGATTCTTAGTTCTGCAAGCTCCTTCTCCTCGTCTACTTCATCTTCATCATCAGAACCATGGACTGATGCCGCGGGCGTTGTTCCTCCTAAAACAGAGAAATACCACGATCGAATTACCGTGTAAGGCAGCTAAAAGTTGACGGCATAATTGCAGTTAATGCGTGAAGGTGATAACGACTTCACGTGATAACTGCATGCAGTCAATCAGCTACATGAAGTCGACTGCATGCAGTTAATGCACGAAGTGATTATCCAAGACATCGACTGCATTGATATGAAAAAATACAATTTAAAAACGTGTCGTGTTTAATAGTGAGAAACTGATTTGTGATAATATAACTACTTATAGTAATTAGTGTTCATAATTAATATATTTTACAATTGCTATATACCTACATGAATCGTGACAATTGTCATTTCGGGCGCCTTCAAATTAGAAGCTAATAGAAACGCCACAGTGTCACATTTGACACATTATTAACTGATTAACACATTTTCGTATTATATTTAGCGCCACAGTCGTGACATGCGCACGCCATCTTTGCAGTCACAATTGGGCTAAAGTGTTGTAAACGACATTGATTTTTTTTTTACAATAGTACTGTAGCGAATCGCGGCAGTATATTTTATAGACTTTTCAACAGTGTAGTTTTATACTGAAATTCTTAATTTAAATGTAATTAATTTTGGCGTCTTTTTCTTTAGTTTTATATTGAAACTCTTAAATGTCGTGTAAATAAATTGTAAACTCGTTTCCAAGGCCAAAGGAACTTCACTCTTCAATGGCACCCACCCGAACACTAATTGCTACAATCCGCTATAATTACTTTAAATTGGATGCTGATAAACAATAACGTGTCATTGTTTTTGATAGTTTATTCTAAAAACTTGTAAAAAACTTTTGATGTTGTCACCTCAGGAACGATGAATTGTTGTAATTTATTACTATAATAAATATAACAACAACAAGCACAACTGCAAATGTTTTCATTTTACAAGTAAATTTTAGAACAAAATATCAAAAAAAGCGTCCGAAGGGAAAAAATGTTTAGGTGCCATTTTCGCAAAACTATGATCATGTTGGTTGACACCTTATTGCTTATCAACATCCAATTATACTAAAATATATTGTTTCATAATAAGATGCTACTTTCATGTATTAAAAATATTTGATTATCAAATTTAGTATCATTTAAAGAAATATAGCAAGAAAAAAAATGTGAATTACACCACTATTGCCGTATTGCGCTGACATCATCAATTAGTGAACTAAAAATTACTGATATTGAAGCGTTTCTACGAGCGTCTAGTATGAAGGCGCCCTAAGCGCGTTTACCCACTGCATCCGATTCGCATTCCTTCCAAATCCCAGACTACACAAATCTATAAAACTCGGTCCCACTTCGGAAGTCGCTTGTGCACTTAAGTCCCATTCGAATCCGGGAAAATACGATATAGCTTGTACACTTAGAGATAAAATGACCCTTGTAACTTTCTAGGATTCGGAACTGCTATGAAACGGACGTCGTGCGCGAACGCTCTAAGTCTAATTAAATCTATTGAAAGATGAACAAAACACTAGTGAAAATTGCCTAAAGGTCCTAAAACGCGTCAAAAAACCTATCTACCTAAAAATCTATCTACATAGTAACCACATCAAATACATAAGAACCAACCACCGTAATTCAAAATATAACTTTAAAAACTCGCATAATACACAAACCAGCACATTGAGCGGAACACTTTAGTAGCTGTAGAGATCCTTGCGAAAGAATTCGTCCAGGCAAGAACTGCCACCTTACCTATTTCTGCCGTCAAGCAGTAATGGGAGCATTATAGCGTAAGAGTGAAATTACAGGCATATGGAACTAGTCAACTTATGTCTCAGGATGAGGGGCGCCCGTCAGGTCTTTGCGCTGCCACTGCTATGGACAGGCGGGTCGTTTACCACCAGGCGCACGACTGGTTCGTCCCGTCACATGGCGCCATAAAAAAATGGGAAAATAACAAAATTTTGTTTACTATTATAAGATTACGTTATAAGTCAACTTAACAATGGGACCTACGCAACTGTGCCAAAAATAACCGTAAATCAATTGTTCTATTTCTTGAAGTTTACAAATACAGATATATGTATTTTGTTTTTTAAACGTTTCCTGAAAGGCGGTCAGTCTTAATCGATTGTAAAAATAAGAAAAGGAAAAATCAATGTTATCCATAGCATAATTCGTGAGCTGTACACAGCTGTACAACATAAATATTGACAGTTAGTGATGGGAATTAACTGTCGATAGATATCGATAAATTTTTTTTTATTCATGTCACAGTTTTGGTTTAACCCGGCTTCATGACCCTAAGGTGTACCAAAATTATTGAGGATAAACATCACTTGCTCTTGGAGTGTGTTCGGATGGAACACATCAAGGTGCAGTTATTTGCACAGTTTGCTTTTTGTACATTTAATGTTGGTTGATTTCAATCCTATTTGTCTGAACCAACTAGTAGTGCCGCGAAGATTTGGTATACATGCTCATGTTCAAAGCCCCGTAATAAATATAGTTAAAAAAAATAAGAATAAGCAGTGTTTTTTGCAAAGTCTGGTCCAGTCATTTTACTTTTTATTTTAGGTCAAGTTTGAAAATAAAAAAATTGTCAACTGTAATTTTTTCATTTATTTGTTTTGATTTCATAATTAATGCAATAAAAGTGTTTCTATTATATTTTAATATAGGTTCGTCGAATGGTTCGGTTGTAAATATCTTAAAGGTTTTTATTGTTATTTTGTAAAATAATAAGTGGAAGTTCTTTTCTTGTAAATGAAAACTTTAATTTAATCAGCCGACTGTAAAAAAGGGAAAATATTCTCAATAAGACTGTATTATTTTTGTGTGTGTATGTTTAGCAACTACTCCGACATTTGTGAGTGTGTTTGTGAAACCATATGTGAAATGTTACTATTTTGATCCGCTAAATGTGCCGGTACGTGTATATTCAGAAAAACAGAAACATAACCCAGAAACCTTTAAGTTCTTTCGCAGTTTTCAGCAGAGTCGTTTAATTTCTGAATTAACTGATCAATTTGTTCCGCCATAGCCTGATTTAGAGGTTCAATAAAATCACTAGGCGTTCTATAATCCTCCTGCGACTCGGTAAAGGGATCTTTCTTCTTAAATGAAACTTCAATATCTGATTCTGGGACATCAGTTATTTCCAGAATTTCAAGACTTTTCTGGACGTTGATTGCGTTTTTCTTCTGTATATCGATTTGGTGAACAGTCTGTGATATTTTGTCCGTGGTTTCTTTTTTTGGTTCTCGCACTGATGATGTTATACGATCTTCGGTGACAGGGTGATTTTTTTTTGGGAAGAAATATTACAGGTCAGTTTCTTTCTTTTACTACACTTGGTCTCAAACTAGGTTTTTCACACAAGGACATGGACCACACAGATTGCAAGTGAAATGACAGTCACATGGGAGTTGTCAACTTATGTCTCAAGGCGACGGGCGCAGTGGCAGTGTCCCTCATCTTTGCGATTTAAAGCTCGAGTGCCTCCACAACTGCTATGGACAGGCGTGTCGCTTACCATTACGCGCACAAATTGTTCGTCCCGTCCCTCGGTATCATAAAAAAACTAAAATTAATTTAAAAAAGCTGTTAACTCCCTACGTGGCCGAACAGTTACCAACCCACGCAGAGGTCCCAGATTCGATGCCCGGGCCAAGAGAAATATTTGTATCGCCTACATTTATTTCTCTCGTGAATTTGGGTGTAATTTGTGGTTGTCATCGTTATTATGGTTTTTGTTGTTACATCTTTCATTGCACACCCGTTTAACCACACTTATCGTATTAAGCCGGTTCTCCATTGACGCGGCCGTTCGCGCGCTAGTTGTTTCTAAACCAAGACAAGCCGTCGTCGGCATGCGTACGGACGCGGTTGGAAATTCGCAAATCGTTGCCGACCTGTGGCGAGTCGCTTTCGTACGAACCTACTCTTACATTCACGGACATAGACCTTTATCTGTCTAGCTTAAAGTGATTCTGCGTTAGTCATTGTGGTGACTCCCTTACCGGGAGTTGAACCCGGCTAGATTCAAACCAGCGCCTTCAGATACCGTGCCTGATGCTCTCCCAACTGAGCTATGGAATGAACTAGCAGACCTTACTATTTTTTCCAGTTTCGCGCACTTTCCGGTAAACGATTTCCATAAAATTTAGCAAATAGACGTGACTCCACGAACTTTTGAGGTCGGTTGTGCTTTACAGGATAAAAATACTTACTGGAATGAGTGGGGCTGGGTGGTTCCGAGATGGGTCGTGGATAGTTGAACTGCTTGCCGAGGTCCCGGTCCATATGGTCCACGTAGTCCGGGTACACTATTTTCAACGCCTGTGCACGCGCTTGCCGGTAGTACTGCAAAAGATACAGACATCTTTAGTGTACGGACTACATTGCTTGATGTTCAGCTTGCTTAATTACTGAAATATAACAGTGAAAGTATTGAATCAATCGCTTTGGAGAAAATATATAGTAAAATTGAGGAATACACGGTGTGAAAATACGATTCCTAAAAATGATAATTTTTACGATAGAAAAACAAAAACACAAAAATTACCTCGAAATTTTGCAAGGAAACCGCTGTATTCAATAGGTATTTTACATATACCAAATTTTTTTTATATACACTTCCGGACATATAACTCGAGCCACCACACATTTTCAGTATTAAGTGACCTAAGCTTAAACAATGTTTGATTGATCAAAAACTTATGCAATTTGGAAACTAGTATACTAAACGTCTTTTCCATAAGTCCTTATTGGAAATTTGGATGTGCAAAACCGGGGAGAAAACTTTTTCTTCGATGGTAACCTATTTTTGTATTCTAGTCCTTTACGACAAAAATGCGAGGTGGCTCTAATTATGTGTCCGGGAGTATATATCAACTAAACTAAATAGAACACGTATAGTATACTATATACATTTTTCAAATGGCTTTGATTTTGTATGTAAAAAAATTATTTCTGAAATAAAGCCAATGTCCCTGTCGCTCGATCCAAGCAAAATGAACCGCATCAGTACGGGAAAAATTTGAATTCCAGCTGAGGTACTATTACTCTTAATAGCTTTAGTAGGAGTCATCGAGTATATAACCAGAAATAGAGACGAAATAAGGGCCATATATTCCTGGTAACACATTAGCGATATAGCTCTTATAAATATCAACTCCCGTTTGCACTGAAATATAGACAGGCCAACTACTGACCCGTGTCTCCGTATATTCCAAAAAATATTCTGTATTTATTGTAATAAAGATAATATCTCTAACAATGCCGTGCAGTTCTATTCGGTGGTGTGGGAAAAACAGCAAAACATCTAATTACAAAACAAACGGAATCACATTTCATCGGTAATTAAATATGTAACTTTGCAATCTTCGTCCATTATAGCAAAGCTCAAGATAACTGGTCGATTTGAAGTGAAACAATTGACGACACCCGTCAATTGTTTCGAACTCGGGCTAGCCAATCGGAGCACAGTTGTCACAGTAAAGATATGGCAGAATAGTTTTCAAACAAATTAAATGACATTTCGTCTCTATTTCTGGTTACATACTCGATGGTAGCAGTAGAGCACCTTGTGAAAGAGTTCGAGTTTAGGGAATTACTGCCACCTTACCTATTTCTGCCGCCAAGCAATGTCAGCTTTACTGCGTTCCGGTTTTGAAGGGTAAGGGTGCTGGTGAAATCACACGCACATGGGACTTTTCAACTTATAGCAGAGCCTATTAGATCATTGCGATTTAATGCTCTGAGTACCATCAGGCGCATGACGTGTTCGTCTGTCACTTGATATTATACAAGAAAAGCTACTTTGCTGAAAACGAACCTTGCTTAAAAGCAACATAGCGTAAACTGTCACGCATCCTTGAGACACTCGCGTGCTGATTTTGATTCAAAACGGAATCGAACCGATCGGGTAGTCTCTAAATCAGACTGGTTTCCGAGCGAGAAGATGAACCTGGTTCCTACTATATCTTTCTAATTTGTGAGTTAAATCAACTATTGTTCCGATTAGAAATGTCAAAAGTTTCCGATCGGCCAGTTGTGAATCGCAATTATGCGCCTCGACTCGGAAGAGACGCAGTTTCCGATCGGGAAAGGCAATCCAAATGAAGCTGTCGGTCTCCCTAACAATTTTGGTAATGTATTTAAAAAAAATTAATTTCTTGTTTTACACCGTGAAGAAACTTTAAAAGACTTACGATGCCAAGATTTCTCCAGTCCAAAAGATCAGATAACCTCTCCGTTCTGTTTCTCTGGATGATACGCTGTCTTCGCGTCAATCTATAAAGTAAATTTAAAAATTTTGAAACTTAAAATAGAATACAAAAACTATTAGGGTAGTAGCCACCTTACCTATTTCTGCCGCCAAGCAGTAATATACGCATGACTACGTTCCAGTTTTGAAGGGTAAGGGTGCTGGTGAAATTACAGGCACATGGGACTTGTCAACTATGTCTCAGGGCGCAGTGGCAGTGCCCCTAAAATCTTTGCTATTTAAAACTCTGAGTGGCACTGTAACTGTTATGGATAATCATGTCGCTTATAAAATAAAAAAAATAAAATTATATTATGTTAGTAGTAGAGTAATAACGCACACACTCAACATAGCCCCGCACTAGGGAAACCCTGTGTCGCGGGTGGTATGGACACACACATAGACAAATTACAAATTACACCCAAACTCACGAGAGAAATAAATGTAAGCCATACAAACATTTCTCCCAGTCCGGGAATCGAACCTGGGACCTCTGTGTGGCAGTCCGGCATGGTAACCGTTCGGCCACGGAGGCAGTACAGTTAGTTATGTAAGATTAGTTCACGATTGTGGGCGTGTGAGGACGAAGGATTTTGATACCTTTTCTTCTATTAGTTTGTTATTCAGTCGTTAGATGCAACTATAAGGGTGCGTTCTCATAATGTCGTGACGACAAATTGTCGTGCAGATTAAAGTGTCGTGGCTTGTATATTTAAATGAAGTTGTTCACATATTAACTGTCGTTCACGAGTTTTTTGACTTTACTTCTATAGATACGAATGGGAAGAGCTGGAATGACAGTCGTCTGACGACAAATAAAAAGTTACGATAAAAACGTGATGACAAATTATTATATATAAGTGAATTAGCTAGACACGACATTCGTTCAACGATAAAGAAACGTCCACGACACAGTCACGACAGATAGTCGTGATATGGGAACAGGCTAGACGCGACAGTCGTCGAACGATAAATAAAACGTTCAAAGAGAATACGTAGATAGGAGGAATAAAGTGTTTATCACACTTTATTCACTAGTATGACATAAATACAGATTAAATACAACAAGAAAATCAAAACATTTTTGTCATAGTAGTGAAGTGGCGCGGACTCAGCATATCGACTGTGAACTGGCAACCGGTACTATAACAATTTTGACAACTTTACATTGACTTTACAAGTGAAGAAAAAAATTGTTTGCGTCATTTATATAGATAGCATCTGGTTTAATAAACAAAAATACGTAGTTTACGTGTTAGAAATATATTTAAAAACTACGTATTTTTATTTAACAAATCTATATAAATGAGGCAAACAATTTTTTTCTTCACCTGTGAAGTCAATGCAGAGTTGTCAAAATTGAGATTAGTACCGGTTGCCAGTTCACAGTCGATATGCCTAAGTTCACTAAGGCGCTGGTTTTCAGTCAGAATCAACAAGAGGTACTAAATCTGGAAGTTATTTGTAATAATAGATCTAATAAACGACCAGGAGGGAATTTTTTAAATAATAAATGTAATAAAGTTAATAAAGTTATAAAGCAACCTAATGGGATAAGACAAAACGCGCACTGAGGATAATAGTCGATACTAACTTGCTAAAGTCAAACATGAATTGCGCTAGCTGTTGCACAGAGCCTTCTAAACTAATGTAGCGCCGATCAACGACGTAGATGCCGTACGACTGGGGATCCGCGATATGTTCTTGCATGAAGCAACCGAAACCTGTCAACAAATAAAAAAATTACTTGCTGTCTACAGCTCCATGTGAAAGAGTTCGTCCAGGGAAGTACTGCCACCTTATTTATTTCTACCGCCAAGTAGTTGAGTATTACGACAATAGTAATTAACACTATTGCAACTTTTCACCAGAAATTAACGCTAAGTCCAAACTCATGGTACCACGATTTCGTTTGACCAAGGTAAACAACTCTTTTATGGGGAACTGTATACGTTTTTACAATAAGATTCCGGAGCATACATTAAGTTTATCATTTCCTAAGTTTAAAAACTACATTAAAAATATTTTGATCGAAAAATCATATTACAAAATTGAAGACTACGTGTTAGATAAAGATGTATGGAAAGACGACACGGCTCCAGAATCCACACAAATTTGATTCAAAGTGTATTCCATTCAAAAGAGCAATCCCTAGAGTTTCTTGCTCGTTCTTCTCAGGGAGGTCAGCGTAGTGAACGAGCAGTAGCTTAAATGTGACGTTTTCAAGTGTAAATTTATTTTACCTATGGAATAAATAATCTTTGACTTTGACTGTGACTAAACCTTTTAAATTTCAAACATACTAATGATTTTTTTTTTACTACAAGTTATTCATCATACTCGTAGTGACTTTTTGAAATGGGGTAAAATGACAGTTCAATTTTTTTTATTAAGAGTGTTGACTTGGATACAAGTCCTTTGAGCCATGTCTTCGTTTAATTATCGGGATCCTCAATAAATATTTTCCATTGTGGTTTTTAAATAGTCTTACGCAGCGGGAATCAATATTGAAGTTTTCAATTTCACTTAAATCACATAATTGTTACTTTATACACAAACTTAGAATTCGTAATTAGTGGAATTTTCAGGATAAATTCTTTTATAACTTGGTTTAAAATGAGGAATACAGTGATAACTTTCTTCATCACTATTTCTTTCTTCGTATTTTCTTCATAATGTACTTCAAATACAAATAATCTTTGTAAAAACCGTACTTGTAACTTCAAAAACCCGCCATTTTTTGTAACAGTTCATCATAGAGCAAAAGTGTTGCCCATAAATCGACTGCTCCTACGTAAAATATTGTATGTCGAAATTTTCTATCGACTATCAACTGAATGTTGGTTACGCTTATGCAATAAATAGCAATTTGAATTATCAATTTCTGTAAGTTTATACATACATGTCTATTCAAAATATACAAAGAGGAGACATATTTTAAAGCTTTAACTTTAATTCAATATAGATAATCAGATTAACCTCTCCACGGCCTCCGTGGTCGAGTGGCTTGTTTTCATGGTGTAGCCATCTCAGAGGTTCCGGGTCAGTGTAGAAAACTAACTTTTCTATATTGTTTCGGGTCTAGGTGTTTGTGGTACTGTCGTTGTTTCCGATTACCATAACACAAGTGCTTTAGCTACTTACCTAGGGATCAGAGCAACGTATGTGATGTTATCTAATATTAATATTAATAATGATATTAAATTCACCTCTTATTAAAATGTATAATGAATAAAATTTGATTAAATTTTTATTGAATTGATATTCAATTATTTTTTGTGAAATTACTACACTAGTTTGTTATAATTATTAATACAAAGATCGAACACTCAGAAAAAATTCCTTCGATCAATTTTTTCTAAAAAATTCCTTCAATCATTTTTTCTGAGTGTTCGATCTTTGTATTAATAATTATAACAAACTAGTGGAGTAATTTTTATTGAATTGAATATCAATTCAATAAAAATTTTATTAATACAGTGAACAGTGACATCTCTCGCCAGGACTGGTAGCTGCAAAGGTACTAACTGGGTGATAAATCTTTCATAGATTTCTCATAGATGGCGCTACGATTAAAAAGTCGTTGAAAAACCAAATACAAAGACACGACGCAAGCACATAGAAAAATTCGTGAGGTCCGTTGGTTCGTTCCGTGGCTTAGTTGGTATAGCCTCTGAGACGGTATGCAAGAAGACATCGGTTCGAATCCGACCAGATCGAAGGAATTTTTTCTGAGTGTTCGATCTTTGTATTAATAATTAGAATAAAATTTGATTTATATTTTAGTAAACCAACTGTGAAAATAGAAATAAAGAAGGCAATAATGCAATTAAAACGTCGTAACTTTCACAATTCAAACATGTTTGGCAAAATTTTACCTTCTTTCACAATCTATCGACAAAATTTTCGACAACGACATGACTATTTACAATTTTATGAAAACTGGCAACTCTGTAAATGTCACTTTACTCTGTCTCCAAAAAATACAGCTATAGCTAGTTTTATTCATCTAGTTATCCCTAGTACGTGACAGGACTATAGTGCCTACTAAATATCTATTAATACAGGAGGACGCCAAGATGACATGCTTAGACAAATTCTTAATGACGTATTTACTGACCAGACAAGTTAGTAGTGATGCTAGGTATCCCCATAACAGTGCATTCGGCGGGTGTATAGCCCCAAGGTTCATAATACGACGGGAAGACGCCAAGGTGGCACCCGCGGACAAATTCCTCGTAATCCAGACCGAATAACGGGTTTGTGGAGGACAGGAACTCCGGATGGAAAATAACCTGAAATGAAAATTAAGTTTTTAAACGATATCTGTTAGAGACCTGTGAAACTTCTTCACTTGCAAGAAAACGTGCTTGAATGTCGGAAGAGAATTTGACACGTCTGGTGATTGCAACAAGCGCCATCATGAACATGGCGTGAACCAAATTAAGAAAACAATCACAAATAAAATACACTATTCAATGTGAGCATAATAAACAGTATAGTCGGTCTTTTTCGAAGACGGAATAAAATGACAGTCCATTGCGCAAAATTGTTACCCTATCCGCGAGCATCTCAAATACTAGATTGCAGTCGATAAACATTCTATCGACTTTCGACTGAATATTGGTCACGCTTATGGAACAAATAGCCGATTTTTTTCATTTTGATTCAATTTTACATTTCAAGTCTTCTTTCACAATCTGTCGATAAAATTATCGACAACAACTACATAACTAGTTAAAATTTCATGACAATTGGCAACCCAACAAATGTCATTTTATATAAGGTATCTATACCTTATATATCAGATAACAATCTAATCCCGAATGTGTGTGTAAATCAATATTGATAAACATGTTAGTTGTACCCTTTTTCACAACAAAGAAACTTACTTTCACTTGGTCGTTGACGGTGTTGAACAATTGACATCTCCTAATAGAGTTCAGGCAAGGGTCGCTCCAGTCATCCACCTAGAAATGAAGATATTATATTAATTATCTTTACATTAATTAGAGCTCCTTATGAAAGAGTTCGTCCAGGACTGCCACATTACCTATTTTTGCCGCAAAGCAGTAATGTGAACATTACTGCGTTCTGGTTTTGAAGGGTAATGGTGCTGGTAATTACATTCGTAACATTCACAAACCAGACATTTTTAGCTAATTTTACCTTCTTTCACAATCTATCGATAAAACTGTCGATAAAACCACATGACTATTTAAAATTTCACAAAAACTGGCAACCCTGCAAATGTCATTTTCATCAAAAAAAGAAACAGTATATTATTTAAATATTTTTTTGCATGTTTGTTCGAATGCGTTCGTTAGATACATTACTCACACACAAGAACAAACACGGTACATTTAGGCGGGCAAAGGCGGCCTTATCGCTAAGAGCAATCTCATCCAGACAGCTTTTGACGCAAGTTTACTTGAGGAAAATTCACTTACAATGTTATGTGTAGTAATAGGCGGTAGACCGTCTCTTTGCAAAGCGTAGATACATCTCTTTAGACGGACCGTGTCGTCTTTGTGAAACAGCTCCGACGTGTCGGGTAGGTGACCTCTGAGATATGAAAAGACGGGGATGTTAACAATAAAAACTATATAAAATTAACAGGACGGATGACCTGGTAAGGGCGGCGGGTAACCGATGGATGCACGTCGCGTCCGATTGGCTAGTCTGGAAATCTTTGGGGGAGGCCTATGTTCTGCAGTGGACGTCTTCCGGCTGATATGATGATGATCACGTGCATGTACTTTACGTGGGCTTGGAGTGTCATTGCTCGCCACATCACTCTTTCAAGAGTGTACAGAAAGTGATCCTATTGTAAGTTTCTTTTGTGGCCCGTAAACGCAGTAACGCTTTGGCAATGTCTGATCCAAAACCTAGATCTGAAGATCCGTCATATATATTATATTCTATTTTACTAACCTGAGGCAAATATCATACATCCGTTTGCCAACCTTCTGTTGTATGTCCTGTATGGTGTCCCTCAAAGCTTTTGTGACGGCGTGGCCGCGCAAGCTTTCTACGTTGAAGTTGTTGGTTTTCGCAGGGAATATCAAAAACGCCACCACTGTATATGGCGACCCTGATGCCTGGAATAATAGAACAGCATCATTATTAGCGTCTGACATTATTTTTTTATTAGCTTAAAACTAAATAATATTAATAATAATAACTGGGAGCCAATTAAAGATCCTCACAAATAAAAACATAATAAGGAATCTGGTTACACAATTCACCTAACTTATTATATAAAATATTTAAAAAAAAAAAGAAAAACCACGGAAGTTGAAAGCCTTACTAAGAGTCAAAGAAGTGCTCACTCAATGCTCTCATTGCCAAAATCACACTCGCGATGATAAACTACAATAACGGCCAGGCGCGCTCTGAAGAACATTTACTCGCTTATCAAAGCGTCTGATCAACGTGTCGATCGACAAAAAAAAATCGTTATCGATTGTCTGTTTCTTAGACATTTACTCGATTATGTCTGATCATACATGTCGACCGACAATAAAACTTCGTTGTCGATCGTCTGTTTCTTAGACATTTACTCGATTATGTCTGAACATAATTAATTTATAACTACAATTATTTTATTGTTAAATATAGAAAATCTATTTTTAAGCTGTAATATAAAGGAATTTGCTCAAAAAGATGCATAAAATACAGGTATACATTTATTTAGGTATCGCAATTACACATTAGGTTCTAATATTAGAATGTATAGCTTTACTATGAAGATGTGTTTAATTTAGATTCCCTTCTTAATTGTTATTTGAATAGTATAATAGCTTTATCTTCCTTTTATCTTTATAAGAGTCGATCGACAAAAAAATTTCGTTATCGATTGTCTGTCTTTAGACATTTACTCGATTATGTCTGATCATATGTATCGATCGACAAAAATAATCGTTATTGATCCAGAAGTGTCGTTCGACAAAAGATACGATGTTTATCGTCTGTTGCTTTGATTTTACCTTCAAATAATGGTTCAGCCGTGCCAAAGCTTCGATAAAAATATCGGCTCCCTTGTTCCCGAACTCGTACCGACCAGCTATGAAGAAATATAGTGTCTTGTCAAGGTCGAAGTTGAAGTGGCTGTGGACAAACACACACAATGTCGAATCAGTATAGGCATGGATCAATAAATCAAGAGATCTGCTAATCGCGATACAAGACATCGTAGTCGGGTATTTAGTACCTATGGTACACCAGATGTCGCCACGAGTAATAACTATTCTTTTTTTTTATAATTATTAATACAAAGATCGAACACTCAGAAAAAATACTCAGAAAAAATTCCTTCGATCCGGTCGGATTCGAACCGACGTCTTCATGCATACCGTGCCAGACGCTATACCAACTAAGCCACGGAACGAACCAACGGACCTCACGAATTCTTCTATGTGCTTGCGTCGTGTCTTTGTACTTGGTCTTTCAACGACTTTTTAGTCGTAGCGCCATCTATGAGAAATCTTTGACAGATTTATCACCCAGTTAGTACCTTTACAGCTACCAGTCCTGGCGAGAGATGTCGCTATTCACTGTATTAATTAAATTTTTATTGAATTGATATTCAATTTTTTTTTTTGAAATTACTTCACTAGTTTGTTATAATTATAAATACAAAGATCGAACACTCAGAAAAAATTCCTTCGATCCGGTCTGATTCGAACCGACGTCTTCTTGCATACCGTGCCAGACGCTATACCAACTAAGCCACGTACTCTTTTTTTTATAATATCAAGTGACAGGACGGACAAGTCGTGCGCCATAAGGTAAGCTACATGCCATTCAGAACTTTAAATCGCAAAAATTTGAGGGGTACTGCCACTGCGCCCGTCACGCTAAGACATAAGTTGACAAGTCCCATGTGCCAGTAATTTCACCACATCGATTATAAATAGAGACGGAATGTCATTTAATTTGTTTGAAAACTATTCTGCCACATCATTACTGTGACAACTGCGCTCCGATTGGCTAGACCGAGTTCGAAACAATTGACGGGTGTCGTCAATGGGTGTCGTCAATTGTTTCACTTCAAATCGACCAATTAGCTTGAGCTTTGCTATAATGGACGAAAATTGCAAAAGTACATATCTATTATTTAATTAACGATGAAATTTGATTCCGTTTGTTTTGTAATTAGATGTTTTACTGTTTTTCATTTTATTATTCAATTTTGTAATATGATTTTTCGATCAAAATATTTTTAATGTAGTTTTTAAACTTAGGAAATGATAAACTTAATATATGCTCCGGAATCTTATTGTAAAAACGTATACAGTTCCCCAGTAAAAGAGTTGTTTACCTTGGTTAAACGAAATCGTGGTACCATGAGTTTGGACTTAGCTCTAAGGTTAATATTATGGATATCTTCTTTCTTATTGAAATTATGTATATTGTTACGGGCATATAAAATATTTGAGTAAATGTACTGTGATGCCACAGTCATGATACCAGTCTCCTTTCTCTGAGAGAAACCCGAGAGCCTAGACGGTACACAGAACGAATCGCTCGTTTTTGCAATACAAATATGGTTTGAATATCTGCCGCTTTATCCCACATGAGAATCCCGTAGGACATTATACTATGGAAGTAACTAAAGTAAACTAGTCTAACAGTACTAACATCGGTAAGCTCACGTATTCTGCGGACTGCGTATGCAGCGGAGCTTAATCTGCTGGCCAGGGAAGATATATGTGGAAACCATTGAAGTTTACTATCTAAGGTCATTCCCAAGAAGACTGCTTTATTAACAAGGTCTAACTTTTCTCCGTTTATTTCTATGCTTGGACTAGTCGATTTTACGTTAGGTAATTCAAATTTAACACATTTTGTCTTCTTGGCATTAAGCAATAAATTGTTAGCATTAAACCAATAAACTACCTTAGAGAGGGTATCATTAATATGGTCATAGTTAATGTCATGTCAGTCTGTTTTAAAAATCAAGGATGTGTCATCAGCAAACAACACTATACCAGAAATATACAACCATATACTCGATGTTACATCATTAGCACCTTTACCCTTGAAAACCGGAACACAGTAATGCTGACATTACTGCTTGGCGGCAGTATCCCTGGACGAACTCTTTCACAAGGAGCTCTACTGCTACTAAATGACAAGTTATTTTTGTAACTAATTTGTTTTACATTGACAAGCTGCAATTTAACAAAACTACTTTTCTTTTTAGCACGGTATGCTAAAGACGCTGGTTCGAATTCAGCCGGGTCGAAGGATTTTTTCTTAGTCTTCCATCGTTGTATTAATAATTATATATTATTTACGTTAAATTCAAATTTCATGCATATCGATGAATTGCCGAATTCGGAAATTGGACTTACCCATAAAAATGTCCTCTAACAAACTCGTGTATTTTTTCTTTGGCTAAAGCATGCAAGTTCTGGAACTCGTGCAGAGCGGAGAACTTCTTCACGTTAAGACCGTTTGGAGTTATTATATCGGCCTTTCTTTTGAGCAGATGTTCCGCTTCGTACCCTGGAAAAATTATCAATTATCACTGTTGGGCACACGTCACTAGATCCCTGATACATATAGCTCACACACTTGTCCCACAGAAGGTGACGGCAGATACCATGGAACGCCACCAAATCCTGACACAACTTTCTAGCCTCACATCATCTACTCTTTCCATACTACTTTTTTATTCTTGTCACTTTTGATCCCAGCCTTCCCAAACTCTAATTTATATAATGAATTTTTCAACAAGAACTTTGTTTTGTAAATCAAAATAAAACAATGTATTTAGATGACAATGATTCAAATTTTTATTGTATTAAAAAAAGTAAAATTTGGCAATTAAGGAAGAAAAATAATATCTGATAAATGTCCACCACGACCACAATTACAGATGTCGATTCTTTCATCAAAGTTTCTTCACTTTTTGACAAAATGGTGGGTCTATTTGGTTAATCACTGCACGAATTTTGAGTTATAAGGCTGCAATCGATTCAATTGGCTTCGTATAGACTCTATCTTTAACATAACTTGCAACAACATCAATAACCTAGTTAATAAAACAGATATTGACATCTTCAATACCAAAATTGTTACAGCGAGAAAATTACTCAGCGACTTCTTTTTTATTTCTTAGGATAGTCTTTTTATAAAGTTATATTGTAAAATTCTGTTTCTGTTGATTTTTTTATTAGAGTGCTTACTTATTTAAGTTACTTTATTTCTACAAGTGTAAACTTATTTAGCTTACTTCGTTGTTTAATTTAGAAATATAAATGTATATACTTCTAGTTTACCATTAATAGATAAAATAAAATAAAATAACCCCATAAAAATAAACCAGCGGTGTTAAATCACATGATCGAGCTGGCCACGTACCGGCTGACTTTCGAAATTATGCTGACCGGGAAAATTAGTTTGCAATAAATTCATTCATTGTTTCGGTGGCTGTGTGAATAGTGGTCCCCACTATTGAGGTACCCTCTTTCCAACAAAAAAAAAGAATCATCAAAATCGGTTCACAAATGCCTGTTTGATGAAATGATGAGTTGTCGCGTAATGTACATACATAAAAAAATACAGACGCATTGAGACCACCCTCGGTAATAAAGTTTGGTTGTACTTTAAGTTATTTATTATGGTTACACTTTTATGTAATTTATTATTAGCATCAAGTATATAACCAGAAACAGAGACGAAATAAGAGCCATCCATCCCTGGCAACTCGTCAGGCCTTATATTTTTCTTATTATATAATGGGCCTTATATCACTTTTAAATATTAACTCGCGTTTCTTGCACTGAAATCTCAAATTGAAATAGTACAGCGCCAACAACTGATCTGTGTGTACGTCTCCGTATATTTCAAAAATATTTTGTATTTATTGTAATAAAGTTAATAGCTCTAAAAATGGGGGCCGTTCCATTCAGCGGTGTGGGAAAAACAGCAAAACATCTAATTACAAAACAAATGGAATCACATTTCATCAGTAATTAAATATTGAAATTTTTTTTTTTAATTTTCGTTCGAATTCGGGCCGGCCAATCGGAGCGCAGTTGTCACTGTAATGATTTGGCAGAATAGTTTTCAAACAAATTAAATCACATTTCGTCTCCATTTCTAGTTATATACTCGACGATTATCACTTAGATTTTAATTTTTAAATTTCATTTATTTATTCATTTCATTTATCCACACGCAAAATAGGCGCTTTGTCGTCGAGTTGCGGAAACCAGCCCGTTGCACCAAGTACCAAGTACCAAGTTCATTTATTAATATATTTTTTTTATTTTGTAATTGTATATAGATTGTTGGGTCGAAAATAAATGATTATGTATCATGTTTATTTACGTACCTGTTATATCAGAGACGGTCGTGAAGATATGTGTCATATGAGCCGCGGCTCGTTCCATGCAGTAACGATGGTAAATCTGCCTCTTGCCAGCTTCTTCGTCCACAGAGAACTGGAAAAATTTTAACATAATGAAATTTTAACTACGTAGACCGAAAGACAACTCGGTAGTTTTATTTAAGAACCCGGAAAAATAATTAAAAAAAGCGTTTCCGCCATGGGAGATGTGTGCAAAATAAATTTTTGTAGCTGTAGAGCTCCTTGTGAAAGAGTTCGTCTAGGGAAGTACTGCCACCTTACCTATTTCTGCAGCCAGGCAGTAATGTGAACATTACTGCGTTCCGGTTTAGAAAGGTAAGGGTGCTGGTGAAATTATAGACCAATGGGACTTGTCAACTTATGTCTCAGGGTGACGGGCGCAATGGCATAGCCTATAAGATATTTGCGATTTAAAGCTCTGAATGGCACTGCAACTGTTATAGATTAGCGTGTCGTTTACCACCAGGTGCACAAATTTGTTCGTGCCGCTACCTGGTATTATAAAAATAATAAAAATACAAATGCAGAAAGCCGTGCTGCTCGTATAGGTTCATCGGTTCTTAAGCCTGAATTCTTGAGTCGTGCCGACTGTGTCATTGCCGGGGAATACAAAATTCAAACATCTAAAGTTGCACCATCGAGGTCGCCATAGTATCAACCTACCTTATCCAAATTATTATAGAAGTCGGTATTGCCAGCGCACAGGTATCTTCCCAAAAGCGTAGCGTGTGTTGTGAACACAGTCGCGACATCTACATGGCGGGCTCTGTAAAAAAATTCATTTCTGTATTTAACCTCGTGAGTAAACGAACTTCACCCATTTTTTGTATTGTGGTAACACTGCTTTGCCTTTGCTAACTTTTTATTTTGACACTATCGAGACGGCAGTAACGTCAACGACAATGGCGGGAACCGAGTGGACTTCAGTTTTGTTAAAACTAAAGATATGGTTGTGTAAGTGAATGTACCCTAAGAGACAAACAACTGGTAAGTTCCTCTATGTACTGTTTAACTTTACGACATACATACATAGACACAGTGGAAAGACACACAACTGAGTTAATTGTCGAGTTTAATATGGTTACGAAACATGTTCTATGACTATCAATTTGCCACGTGCTGACTCGAGCCGCAGTACACTAGCCTCATTGACGCTTATGACTGTGGGTGCCTATCGTTGGCATCAATCGGGTCGGTATTAGCTGGCATGTACACTTGCACCGCGATTAATAGCTATCGAAGCTTGAAACCTGTTGGGCAGAGGTTGGGCTAAAGGGGAGGCTGAAGGTCCACTCGGGGCGCCTCTCAAGGTGTCCCACCCCAGAACATAGGCGAGATGTGCTGGGGGTTTGTACGCGACATACGAGGTAAACCTCTACGGTTCCTCGTCATAGCACAATGTAGTGTTATGACCGTTGTAATCATGGTTCAGTGTCTTTCTACCCGCTTATTATAGGTATTACAGTCTAGTCTAAACCCAATAAACCACAACGTGGCGAAAACTTTTTTGAAATTTAGGCACTGTGGTGTATTGGAACACCTATATAGTTTGTTCTGTATTCTCTATGTTAACTTAAGCTTATGTCATTTTTGTGTTCTGTCACCCATCCTCGAGACCTGTCTTGTAATTTAAGTATTAAGTTGTGTTCTGCCTGAAAGACTGTTTATCTTTATATAAAGTGAACAAGTATATTATATTTAATTCCGCTGTCGCCTCCCTCACCCGTTCGTCATACACAACCACAACAGGCACTATTTTACGTCATCCTCGTATTGAATTCAATAGAAAACTTTTATTTCAGATAAAAATCCATATAGTGTTTACTAAAACAACATAACTTACGATCTAGTATTAATATTAATGTTATTTAATTTAAAGGGACAATACAGCAATACAATTAAATGACGTATGGATCTAAAGCAAGCTCTCCGCAGGAGTGGGAAGTCCCACCGATCTGTGAACACACACAGGATGCTGTTGGAGCCGCAGATGCACACCTTTTTCTCACGATAGCCATGAAAGTGTCATGCAACCAACTGTTTGAGCCTCGGTAAAGGTCTCCCGATGTGCACACATCCATGACAGCCCCCTCAGCACCCTGAATGCGTTATTATGTTGGACACGTAAGTCGCTGAATGTCCGCCGCGAATACGCGACCGGGTGAGCCGAGTCACCGGTGGTTCCTCGCCAGTAAAGAATTTTTCGGTCATAATTGTACCTGTTTTATAAAAAAAACCGACCTCAAAACTTCGTGGAATTAAAACTAATTGCGAAGTTTTATTGAAATCAGTTACGGGAAAATGCGCGAAATCGGATTCATCCCCTAGTTCGCCACCCTTAGAGGTGGGATATTTTCTTCATATTTCATCTTATTTCATATTTTAAATGGGACCAATATCGAGGTACCCTCTTTCCAACAAAAAAGAACCATCAAAATCGGTTCAAAAATAGCGGAGTTATCGCGTAACATACATACAAAAAAAAGTCGTATTGAGAACCTCCTTTTTTGAAGTTGGTTAACAAACAGCGTAATTAACATTTTTCAAAGAAAAAACCATTTAGATCGAAAGTTACCAAAATGCAAATAAATTAGTTATGTAGCTATAATATATTTAACGGCCACTCTAATCGAATTCTATATCGAATTTGTATTACTCTAATCGAATCTAAGGGAGAATCCCGGGATCCCGGGAGAAATATTTGTTTGGCCTACATTTATTTGTCTCGTGAGTTTGGGTGTAATTTGTAATTGTCTATTTGTGTGTCCATGGCACCCGCAACACAGGGTTTCCCCAGTGCGGGGCTATGTCGAGTGTGTGCGTTATTAAAAAAAAAAAGAAAAGAAAGAGGACAGCATAGGCTTGAAACTTGTAACCTCCATCTTTTTGCCTCGGGGATAAAAACTTCCTATTTATTTGTAAAATGTAAGAACTAATGTATACCTCAGAACAATAAGGCCGATGCCGGCCTGCCATTCGTGGAAATGGGCAACTACACGAGGTGGAGTATCGGTGTAATTTTCAGCTGCCTTGCGGAACTGAAAACAAACAAAATTTCTTCCTTTTATTCTAGTAACTTCGAGGCATCCATCCATTTTATTGAAATTACAATCCCTTCAATCAATGAAATTACCATCAAGCAAACGACTTATTCGCTCGTCACTTAATAATAGGGGTTAAAGTATGAAATTGCCGATTTGTACTGAA